CAGTGAAAACTCTGCAATCTGGAAAGAGAATTTAGCTGATGTATATGCCCCAACCCCCAATGTGTTAAAATGCCTAGAACAGGCTATATTAACACCTATGAGTATAGTAAACAGAAAGAGGCACCCTACTTGCTTAGAAAGAAGCAAGCAACCAGCCCTATACCTCTACTTTGGAATGGTCTGTGCCAAAAAAAACCCCAGTAATTAAAGTTCTTCATCTAGATTTATCTTTTGCATTTACAGAAATATGCAAATATTGTCTTGCAGGTGTGTAAATTATTTATAATATCATATGTGCACTCACACACATACATATGTCTGTCTATATTAACAATAATAGCACAAATTGAATCAACTTTAAGACTATTCAGATTGAAGTGGAATGGCCAGATGTTCCAGAGCAAAGCAAATTTACAAAGCATTTCAAATCAGGAGCACAAGTTAAATTAGATGCGACATAAAGCACTTCCGTCTACAAGTTGTTGTTTTTTTAAATTTTGAAAATTCCCAGTAGACAGATTCCTAAAGCGAACAATCCAAAATTTGGCAGATCTATGATCTTTACAAATTTCATGTACATCAATGCACACATGTAATAATCACAACTATTTTGGTTTTCCAGTGCAAGTCAGTGGGAGGCTTTACAAAGATGCAGATCTGGGACACAAATTGTTGTGGACCAAAATGTAATCCATTCCAAAACTCCAAATCAGCATCCATGTTCAATGCTGAATCAAGGCTCATGCACAATGTGGGACCACTGCTCTAAAGGAAGCCTGATCAGGCATTTACTAAAAAAAGCCTCCACTGGCTCCCACTATTTTTGATTGTTCTTAACTAGTCTCTATTCTCTGTCCCTTGCCTTTTTTAAGGGTACACTCAGGCATCAAAACTCTAGGTTTTCTTGGTTGAAATAGATCACCCGGATCCTTTTTTGTTTGTGTTCAGGCCTGATTTTAGGATGGAAACAACCCTGGTCATCTTGGTGGATGACCTCTGTTGAGAAGTAGACAAGTGGAGAATACAATAGAATGCAAGCACCACTGTGGACAACGTTATTTGCCAAGTCACTTTAGAGCTGGGGTCATGCTGGCTGAATGGGTGGTTTCAAAGTAATTGGTTTCAGAGGCAGCTTTGTGGTGTTGGTGCTTACCTAAAAAGCACCTTTAAAGTTCTAAAGGGTTTGTTGCCACAGTACCTGACTGACCACTTCCTCCAAAACAAACCGGCCTGGATCTCACATTCTTCATCTGATGCCCTGGAAAAGGGAAGTCTGATGGGAATATAAAACCGGGCCTACCATGTAACCGCACGTTGATTGTAGCTCACCTTCCGAGAAAGACTAGCTTGGCTCCTTCAGGACTGAGCTCTATATAATATGTATGACTATTTGATTCTGTCAAGCTGCCGGTTAAGATTGTTTGCTTTTTAAGAACATTTAATTGGGTTTATGATTTTACTGTAAGCAGCCTCAAACACTCATTGAATAAAAGAATGATTCAGAAATATTAAGCAAATGAATAAACATCATTCTCAGGCAGTCCCCATCCATACCTACTTTCTAGGTTCTGAAATGAAATTCTACAACAAGCCTCCACATCATTCTTTAGCCTTTGGCCTATTATCACAAAAGTACACTTTCTTTCTTTGAATGAGGCTCCACTAATTATACTGGTCTCAGCTAAGCCGCTGTTTTCAAGGTCAATTGAAGATTGCTTAATATATTCCTTTGGGAGATTTTAAAAACTCAAAGCAATGAGAAAATTCAGCTTTTTCTCTGCTTAGACACTACCTTCTACTCAAACTATAATTAATCTAAGGGCTTGTTTCAGTAAAACAATGCTGTTTTTTCAACAGTGGCTTAACACAACAGTATTTATTAATCTGGTGAAGATTCCTCAAAATTAAAATCAACACGCCACTCTTAAAAAGCAATTTAAACTGAGATTTAACTGTGACAACACATATTTTATCCATGTACTTTCTGAAAGGTCACTTTTATGTTATTTACAAAATCGATGACACGCAAAGCTATTTTATTGTACCACATTTTAAATGGTTTTGTAAAACATGTGGTACTCACTGGAGTCCTGCCTCATGGCTAATAGAACATAGACCAAAGAATGTCTTATAACCAAGAATAACTCTAGAAGCTGATATATAGAACTGTAGTAAATATCCTCCAATTTAGGATTTATCTCTGGGTTGTGGATAGCGATTATTGCCAAATTATTTTGAAAGTCATCGCATCGTTTTCCTTAGCTGCTGGTACAGAAGTCTCCCTCCTTTTTGGAACCCCTACTATGGGGAGGTTTCTGGATCCATTGGTTGAAATCCTGTTGGTACAACTCTGGCTCCAAGGTTGGTGATGTCATCAGCAAAGACCTTTCTTTTATCACTAATTAAAAGTTTCAAATACACCACCACCACCCTGATTTTCAAACACTGAAGACTCCCACCTTCCACCCTGAGATTCCAACACTTCCCCAAGGTAAAGGGAGCCTTAAGGAGCCTTGGAATTGGGGAAGAGGTGAGATCAGAAAGTTTTAATTAGTGATAAAAGGCCTTAGCGGATGACATTATCAGTCTTACACACATGGAGCTGTGCCAACAGGATTTCAGCCAATATCTAGCAAATCCCAGCCTATTAGGAAACTATTTTGCCCATAAAATCAGTTGTGACTGTTTGCAAACAAGCCATTTCATAGTGAGTGTGATGCTTTCTAAGCAGTAAGATGATTTCGTGCAATTATTCGACAATTGTTGAAGGAGAATAGAGTGTAGTGATCTTCATGAATAGTACAGGGGTGAAAATGTCCATATGCACTAGCAACTACTTTCAGATGAGGTCTGCTAATAAACTACAGAGTGAACCCAAGATTTCCATACAATCAGATTGCTAATCTGTACATACATGGGTAGATTCTCAGGGTGGTTGTCAGAAGCTATTGTTCTTATCGCCTCACATTCCAGTGCCTAAGTGATTTTTCTCTTGATGTAGCTGTCCACACTCTTCCCAGCACTACTTATTTTGGTTTCTTTGCCATAATGCATCCTGTCATGCAAGTGATCATTTAAAACATGCATACTTGGCCTCTTTGGTATCACTCTGGTATTGCAAATGAGGCTGTGCTCACAAAAAACTAACCCTGGATTTCATAAGCCGAAGACCAATCTGTGAAAAATCAAGTAGTTTCCATCTGCAGAACTGGTTCCATAACAAGCCAAACAAATGGCAGGATTCCTATGGTCCACAAGCACAAAAATGCACAATTGCTTGCTCTACTGGAAAAAACAACAAATATCCACCACAAAAATTGTTTTTGTCCATTACATTACACTGGATGTAGGTCCTTAGGATCACTTAACCAGCATGGGGAAAGATGGTGTAACATATGAATGGGGGAAGGTCAGGAAGAAAAACTAACTACAGATAGGAGAATGTAGGGGGTTATATGCAGGAAATGCATCCATATCCTGAAGCTATTTTGCATACACAATCAAGGATACAGAGCAAAGATCTAAATATAACCTGAACCACCTTCTGCTTGCTGTAAGAATATTCCTGGTGATCAAAATGATCAACCTTCATTGGCTGTAATCCAGTACTAAGTCATAACTAGAGTAGACCCACTGAATGGGGGGGGGGATTTGGTGAGTCAATTCTCTTGTAAACGTCACTGATTCTATGGGACTACTCCCGTTATGATTTACTACTGGATTTTAGCCATTGTTTCTTTGACAGAGAACTTCACTTCCCACAAAGACATCAAAAAGATTTTATAGATGCATGTACTTTGATAGAGAACTTCACTTCCCACAAGGACATCAAAAAGATTTTATAGATGCATGTACAAAAACTGGTACCTCCTTTCTCTCTAAGGGCTCTTAAAAGGCATCTGTATCACTTTGGAAACCCTTCATGGATTTCCCCAGAAATTGCTCTGAGATCCAGATGATGGTTTTTCCCCCTTGCTTTGTACTGCTTTTCTCCTTTGTCTTCCCCTTTTTCCCGGACTTTTTTATACCTCCCAAAAAACTGCTTCATATTTTGTTCCTGTTTGTTCCAGTACTGGAGGTTTGCTTCATTTGTAATCTGACACTTGCTTTGGTGGTCGGTCGGTCTGTCTGTCTGTCTGTCTGTCTGTCTGTCTGTCTGTCTGTCTGTCTGTCTTTCTTTCTTTCTTTCTTTCTTTCTTTCTTTCTTTCTTTCCCAATCCAATCCACAAAAAAGAGAGAGAATACAGAAAAGGAGAGAAGTCGAAGAAACAAACTAGCACTTTTACTTTTCTTTCACCTTTAATACGTATTACAAGAGAAGAATAAGAGTCAAACCCAATTCCTCTGGACAATCAGCCTTCTTTCTTCCTTTCACTTCTGCGACTTTTTCCCCTCACAGTGAAGCCCCTTCCCAAGGCTGTCCTTCAATAACCCAAGACAAACACTTTCCCTGGTCCATCTGGAAAGCGGCTGCCTTCTCTGCCTGCATCTCACCCGCCTTCTTTTGCCGTATGACTTCAATCTTAGAGCAGCATCAGATTTATTTCTTGCTTGCAAAAGCAAATTCTGGCATGGTGTTAGAGGGGAGGGAAGTCAGCTTGTGGTTACTGAACCCAATAAATCCAACGTTTGCTGAACAAAGGAGGAAAAAGGGAGAACAAAATAGGGCAATACAAGGCAGTGCAAATGGCCAGTGTCTGGATGACCTCAAGCCAGTCAAGACAGACTCCCTTATCTTAAAACATAAATAAACATGATCAATATTTATTTCTAAGTTTTTTTCATACAGTATGGTTCTTCTGAAATATTTCAAGGTAATTGCTTAGTGACCTTCAATTAACATAGCAATAAGAGTTCTAGTTGCAGTTTTTAGAAATTCAGAGAATTATCTTCTGTTGAAAGGATGGGGAGTTATCATTTGTAATGAGTAACAAATTGAAGCCAAAGCAGAGAGTACTCAGCCTAAGGGAAATCTGATATAAAAATTCTAAGGACATTACCTTCGTTTTATCATATAAAGCATGATTATCCAGCATCATTTTCTTCTCATGGGTGGCATATCTTCGCAGATCACGTTCAAATTGCTGCACATGTAGAAAACGCAGTGTCAGTTGTATAAAGCAAAATGAATATCAGAATGCACATATGGTAAAATTGCAACTTTTAAGAAGTACTTGTATTCACAATTGTGTGTGTGCACGCGCGCATGTGTATAGAAACAAATAATTCATACCACTAGATTTAGCAAAGGCTGCTGTCTAGAAAAATATGTCTGACTTGCTACTGTTCTGCATAACAGGTCTGTGCCATTTTCAGCTGCTTTAAAACACTGGGGAAAGAATGATCCCTTAAAACTGGTATTAAAGCAGAGTCACCATTTACAAGGGAATCTGTCAGGTCCCCATTACTGTACAGCTAACATTAAGAAATATGAAATTGCCATCATACATTACCCTCTTCTCTATAATGAATGTAGCCTGCAGTTCATGCGAGTTCCATAATGGATGCTCACCGAGAGGGACTGTTTTTTGACATGCAATACTACATCACATTAGCTTTGTCTGATACTAACTGCCTTGCTGATTGTTATAGTTTTATAAGAAGAGATGGTTTAATTTAAACACATACTGGACTCCATTTGGTTGTGACTCACATAATTTGTCTGAGTCAAAAAAGCTTAGGTGTTTGCATTTTTTGCAGTGAGTGGAGAAGTTTGCAGAGTGTTCGCTGGTAGTTGCCTCCAGTCACTTGAAAGCCAAAGGAATACACTGCATATAGTACTGCATTTAAGGTTAGAAGTCCATCTCATTGTGTTCAATGGACCTTAATCCCTGGTAAATGTATAGTGGGTTGGACTGCAGCTTCCACAATCTATCAGGCTACGGCTGAAGGGGAACTATATGCCAAAACCATTTGAAGGGCCATCGTTGTCCAACCTTATATAGATTAGGGTTGTGACATCATAAGATCACAACCTTTATATAAGCAGCCTGCTCAGACTAGAGGTGGATGTCAAAGGGATCTTTTTTGCCACTAACACACATTTCAAGCAATATCATTTCCAGCAGGGCTGACCCTAGCATTAGGCAGAGTGAAATGGACATCTCAGGCAGTGGTTTTAGGGGGGCAATGGAAGAGAAGCAGATTGTTAGCTATCCAATTCATGGGGATGCTATTTTTACATCTAGGACTGAGAGAGATGTTTGTGTAATTTTCTGTCTTATGTAATAAAATAGCTTGCTTGAGTTTTTTTGTACTATCTCGCTGTGGATTGGTGAATAAGGGGATACCATCTGCTGTTCCATCTCAGTCATCAAAATGTCTCGGACTGACCCAGGAGACAGGATGGTTATGTATTTATGTAAAATATTGTAATACTGCCTTTTATTGAGTAAGATTTCTGAATCATTTATAACATACACAAATCATAGAACAACCTAAAAACATGAAAAATCAAGCATAAAATTAAAAGGTCATGATGGCCATTATAGTATGTGTTACAACTCTTCATTTGATTCATTAAGTAGCATCATTTTAGATTTACTGTTCTTATGGTTTTAATAATGGGCCTTAGAAGATACAAATGCATTTTTAAAAGAACAAGGAAATTGGCTCCTCCAAGCATCTCTTCTGTTAGAACCTTTATAGCAAACTCAGAACTCATTTGAAATATGTATGCTTCGAGCAAAGCTTGAAATGTTCCAATAAGATTTTCCACACTCTCAGGAAAAAAGAAATGTCAAGTGCATGATTCCCACTGGTCCTTCATTTACTGAAATGCTGCAAATTGCACAAAATTCCAGTGAGAACAGGATGGGTTATTTATTTTAAAACTGCAATTTCATCACAGTCCAGAGTTTCAACTTATGGATTTTTTTAAATGAATCCTATCTTTAGCATCTAGCCCAATCTAGTAGCACAACAGTTCAGGCAGACTGCATGGTGGGGGCCCTCCAGAAGGTTTAAAATATTTCTCATCAACACCAACTAGCCTGGCCAATGGCGAGGTGTGATTGGAGCAGTAGCTTTTCATCTGGAGTAGCAAAGGTCCCTATCTGAGTAATAATGAACAAAGAATGAATGAGAGGGAAGATCTGGGGTCAAGCTCCAGTGAATTTATGACAGATCCAGGGTAGTTTTATCAAGTCAATTTGTCTCAGCCTATTTAGAAAGTACAGTAGGACTCCCCTGCCCACAAGTTCAGTATCCACTGATTCACTTAACCACATATGTCTTTCTAGGGTTTTTATTTATTATTTCCAGGGAATGTTTGCCAGAACTGGTTACTAGAGGAAGCTATAGACCATGCAATATATAGTGTTTGATACTTATATATTTATACATACACACACACATATATATACACACACATACACATACACACACACACACACACACACATATATATATACTTAATATATAAGTATATATATACTTTTATATAAAATATATACTTTTATACACACACACACACTTGAAAGCCAAAGGAATACACTGCATTTAGGGTTAGAAGTCCATATTGGACTTCTATACACTTCTATAAGTAATACACTTCTTTCAAAGCAAAGCAAAAGGAAAGCGTGCTGCTTATATACCGCGCCATAGCACTTCAAGCGGTCTCTGGGCGATTTACAAGTTAATTACGCAGGCTACACATTCCCCCCCCCCAGCGAGCTGGGTACTCATTTTACCGACCTCGGAAGGATAGAAGGCTGAGTTAACCTTGAGCCGCCTACCTGGGATTGAACCCCGGTTCATGAGCACAGTTTTTTAGCTGTAGTACAGCAGTTTAACCACTGCACCACTGCCATACATATACATGGTGCTGAAAGAAGCGTATAGTGTTTGATACTTCCATATACTGTATATCTGTTTGCCAGAACTGGTTACTAGAGGAAGCTATAGACCATGCAATATATAGTGTTTGATACTATAAAGCAGCTGCCTGAATTCTTCAGCCAAAGAATTTCACCTTAGTAAACCTCCTTAGTGAGGTGTGGAAACCTATGAAAAGATGAAGCATTTTTCAAATCCACTGCATACTACACACCAAAATTAAAGTTTTCATTTCCAAAGAAGAGTAATTTAGATTACTTACCCTTGATCCTGTCCATCCCAACAGAGCAAATGCATATTGTTCAAAAGGGCATACAACCAGATCCACTCTTATTGCCTTCCAGTCTTTCTCTTCTTCCTCAGCAGAAGAATCAGGTAAGATGGAAGTGTCGGGGTATACTTTTTCCTTGGGTAGTTTTATAATGGCAAAGCATTTCTGAAAATGATCTAAACTATCAACTCTTCTGCTTGGCAGCTTTGTCTTGTCAAATGTTGATTCAATAAGATCATAGTACAGGAGCACTCCCTAAGGGGGGAGGGAAATACATAATTCACTGTCCATTACTGTAATTAACAACCCAACACACATACCTCACTAGAACAGCACCAGAAACAGCATCCTGCTTTGGAAGCCCAGATGAACTGCATCTTGAAAACTCAAGGGCTGAATTCAGTGGAATGATTAGTCTAGGTGTTGCAGGCAACTTCCAACATGATTTGTGTAATGGATTGGCCTTTTTGTGCATCTAGAATTCGGGATGCCCTATGATATGTTGCCACCTGAGACACAACACCACATAGTACACACACAAACACAGAGACAACAAATCAAAGTACTTAAAGTCAACCAAGTGATTTTGGTACGTGAAGCAGAAAATGCCACAGGAACTTCTTCCAATTTTTGGCAGACAAAATACAATAATAATAAATTTACAGTCAAGAGTTTTTGCCCTTTCATGAAGCCATAATCTCCTGCCTCAGGCTACTGTACTCAGGATGGTGAAAGATATCTCACTCTCCATAATGAAAGGACTGTCCCCACTTGGATCCAACACTATTCCCATACCTTCCATACCTGCTCTTAAAAGGAAGTGCATATATTAGGAAAAATATACTAGGATTTCTTCCAATAGCTTTATCACTCCCTGAAGTGACAATGAATTTAGTGAGGCTGCAACTACACTGGCTCTCCGTTGACAGTTCATTGTTAATACAGTCAGCTGTTTAAAAGCATTGCATGGTGTAGATCAAGCATTAAACTCAGTAGTTTGTACTTTTTGAAATAAAAAAAAACTTTGGGGCTACTAGAGAGAAAAAAATCACGGGGTGGGTGTTCCTGCTGCCCAGTTTAGTATGTCACCAGAATACCACCCACAGTCATGCTCCTCGCCCATCCCTTTGGAGAGTGAAACAACTGAGCACAAGGTAAAAAGTCCATCTGAATTCTTCTGGCTCGAAAAAAAAGTTAAAAAAAAACAGTGGCAGAGGAAAAAACTCTGCATCTAAAACAAAAAGGGCTCAACTGATTAGAAATGGCATCATTTGATCAGTTTTTTAAAAAAGTGAATCCATCCATTGCATTTTTGCATCATTTGTTCCGTTTTTTTAAAAAAGTGAATCCATCCATTGCATATCTGCAGCAAATTCCACAAGATTTCTATCATTACAGCCTGAGTGAAAGAATCAAAACCATATCTGTGAGTTTCCCACTAACAGATTCTGCTAACCAGCATGGGATAAAGGAACTCCAGTGTCACTCCAACACTACAGGAATTGGGCCTTTAGCAAGAAAAAGATATAATTGGGTAGAATGCTTTCCACCAATGAGAAAAAATTAATTCTCTGAATTTTGTTGGGAAGTGAAGACAGCCTGAGTGAAAGAATCAAAACCATATCTGTGAGTTTCCCACTAACAGATTCTGCTAACCAGCATGGGATAAAGGAACTCCAGTGTCACTCCAACACTACAGGAATTGGGCCTTTAGCAAGAAAAAGATATAATTGGGTAGAATGCTTTCCACCAATGAGAAAAAATTAATTCTCTGAATTTTGTTGGGAAGTGAAGTTCCACAATCCAATTTTGGTAGAATGCTTTCCACCAATGAGAAAAATTTAATTCTCAGAGACCTTTGGGTAGAGTGGGCGGCATATAAATTAAATAAATAAATAAATAAATAAATAAATAAATAAATAAATAAATAAATAAATAAAGAATTCCCACATTTCCTTGCCATTAGCCATGCTAGGAGGGGCGGATGGGAGTTGTAGGCCAACAAAACTGCAGGAACCAATGTTCACTATCTCTCAGCTAGGCTAATGTTGTAGTGTCTGTGTAATCCTGAATGGGGTCCTAAGAACGGTTTCTAGCTGCAACTCTGACACAGCAGTCAGATGAAACATAGCATTTTTCTGTTGCGAAAGGCAGCAACATGAAGCCAACAAAGTACAGGACGATGTTTCTATAGTTCACAAGACTATTGCCATGGAATCCTAGGTTTCATTTAAGTCCAAGAGCAATGCCATAATCACTAGAACTAATTATAGAACCATGCACACTTAGATGGATTCAATCCATGAAGTAAATAGAATTCTCCAACAGAATGTTTCAGCCTGTCAAAAACACAGGTGACTCCATATGCATAATCTTGGGACATAAAAATACAAAATAATCATAGAATCATAGAAAAGTGAAGTTGTAAGGGGCCTACAAAGCCATCAAATACAACCCCTGCTCAGTGCAGGAATACAGTCAAAGTATATCTGCCAAATGATTATCTAAGTTTTCTTGAATACCTCCTAACAGTTAGGAAATTTTTCCTGATATTCAACCAAAATCTGGCTTCCTTTGAACCCCTTGTTGTGTGTCCTGCACTCTGAGATGATCAAGAACAGATCTTGCCCTTCCTCTGTATGATAGCCTTTCAAATATTTGAAAAGTGCTATCATATCACCCCTCAGCCTTCTTTTTTCAAGGCTAAACATGCCCAATTCTTTCAGCCTTTCCTCATAAGGATTGGTTTTCAGCCCTCGATTATCCTTGTCGCCCTTCCTGTGAATTTGTTCCAATTTGTTAGCATCCTTCTTGAAGTGTGATGTCCAGAACCGGACACAATACTCAAGGTGAGGCCTTCTATTAATGCAGCCTAAAATAGCATTTGCCTTTTTTGTAGCCACATCACACAGTTGGCTCATACAGTATTTAGCTTGTGATCTACGAAGGATAACATTCGTGGTACATCCACACAGTGCTGCCCTGATGTTGATTTTTTTTAAATTGACCCAGAGTTTCTCTTGTGAATGATCACATCTGAGCATTGTGCCAGTCACATTAATTAAAAGTTGAATGCAGACTTAACACTCTTTAGTACAGACTTCAGTCTCATTAGTATCAATAAATCCACATATGAGAAACTTTGGATTCTACCCCTTATGCAAAGATGGGGGATTTGTACAATGACAAAGGTCTCAGAGGCTGTGTTACACAGGATCAAAGGCAAAATGGTGAGGCCAAAAATAATGGTACATCCACACAGTGCTGTGTTACACAGAATCAAAGGCAAAATGGTGAGGCCAAAAATAACGTGCATATCTCAGTGTAAAGCTCTTATTGCCATTAGTTAAGCTTTAAGAGGTGGCATTTCAACCTCCCTGGTTGCTGCCTCCCATATTGCTGATTCCTGTCAATAATCTATGATGCCAGTCCTCTCTAATACTGAACACCATTTCTGGAATTAAAGTTTAGGATATAATCCAGGCCCAACATCATCTTAAAGTGTTCCTCCAGAAATGATTCCAGGAGATGCTCTGGCAGCTGCAGTGTGAAGACTCTATGACCCTATAAGAGCTACTCCTGCTTCTACCTCCACCATCAAGGGACAAAAGCAGGAGTGTGCTCTTCAAAGAATAAGATGGATGAGGTAAAGATATTTGCAAAGATACTTGTATATTTGTTTATATGTTGTTACGTGTGGTGTGCACATGCATGTGCACATGCATACATATGCATGGCCCACAGTTGACATCAGATGTGGCTTTTCAGGCTGAAAAGCTTACAGACCCTTTACTAGTGGGATTTCAAGCTCATCTTTACTATATAATCTCACTATCATTATTGTTGTTATTCTTTCCAATTATACATAACCTAACAGTGTTAAAGCACTCTGTGCAATTTATGATATAATTATGAAAACATCACTTATTGGAAGGATTTGATATTCTATTTTTTCTATCTGTTGCAACTTTCTTTAATAAAACAGATATTTGTGTTAAGTTCAGAATTCCACTTTCAGATTCCATTCCTGCTATCAAAAATTTTCACTGCCATTTCCTAGGCACATAACAAACAGAGATGATTTATTCATTACCAGAATTTCCACATCTCATTTTTGGGTTTGGCCACATCCAGGAGAACAATGTACTCCCTTTGGTTTACCCCAGAAAATTACAGACCCATTAAATATGTTAGCGATAAAGCTCAACTATGAAATACTCTTCATCTCTTGTTGACTGCGTAATCTAAACTCAAGTGACTGCAATTTCAGAATTTGAGGCTGCTGCTAGGTAGCAAATATGATGATAAAGCCATTTCGGGAATAAAGGCCTGTAAGTTATCTTTTTATTGCCTTCCCGTCATTAAGAAGCTTACCAATTTGTAAAATTAAGTACAAAGAACATACGTATAAAGGCTACCAACCCACAAATAACCGTATCAATGTTTTACTTTTGTTAAAAAATGCAATTAGGGAACCGTTACATAGGTGCTGACTTCAGCAAGCAATTGAAGCCCGACTCAAAGTCAGAACTCCATTTCCAAGTAGTAATCAAGGCCTAGGGATAGATCCACTGGGATAATGTTTCTGATTAACCTAATTTGATGAGACACTGGACAATACCTTGTTTCCTGTAATGCAGCTGAAACAGCATTCCTGTAGGTTGCAAACAGGGCTTTTTAGAGCAGGCAACTGTGAATATCTTAAAAGGCCCTAATCTTAACATTACAGACTACAGACACCATGGAAAGAGCACTGTGTGGCAGCTGGGCATCTCCTTTCCTTATCCCACCTCAGACCAAATCATCTTGCTTTTCATAAAACCACATTTGGGTTTTATTTTTAATATTTTTTTTAGCTGAAGGATATTCACAGTTTTATGTTAAGAGTTCCCTTGTGCTGCTCAGTGCTCCCATGGATTAAAATGATAGTCTTAATTTGTATTAGCCACATGCCTTTGTAGCTATCAGGGATACTATAAACAGATAAGTAGACTTTTAAAAAGGAAAATGTGAAGGAGGAGGAGGAGGAGGAGGAAGCAGGCAGACCAACCATCTGAGCTCTGAGACTAAACTTACCAGTGTTCTCTCAGTTATACCAATCGTGCAGCCATGCCACCCTGAAAGAGATGCAAGCTTGACTGATTTCAGAAGCCAAGCAGAGGCAAGCATGTCTGAAGAGGGCTTGAATCGTGCATTGATTGCACACTCAACCTTAACACACTGGGCAGACGCAGTGGTGTAGTGAAACTAGGTCT